ATGGTGTCACCGTGTGATGGGCAGTGTCACCGTGTGCCAGGGTGGCACTGCTGTGCAGGACAGTGTCACCGTGTGCCAGGGTGGCACTGCTGTGCAGGACAGTGTCACCGTGTGCCAGGGTGTCACCGTGTGCCAGGCAGTGTCACCGTGTGCCAGGCAGTGTCACCCTGTGCCGGACGGTGTCACCGTGTGCCAGGCAGTGCCACCGTGTGCCAGGGTGTCACTGTGTGCTGGCAGTATCACCGTGTGCTGGCAGTGTCACTGTGTGCCAGGGTGGCACAGTGTGCTGGCAGTGTCACCGTGTGCTGGCAGTGTCACTGTGTGCCAGGGTGGCACCATGTGCCAGGCAGTGTCACCATGTGCCAGGCAGTGTCACCGTGTGCAGGACAGTGTCACCATGTGCTGGCACTGTCACCGTGTGCCAGGGTGGCACTGCTGTGCCAGGCAGTGTCACCATGTGCCAGGCAGTGTCACCGTGTGCCAGGCAGTGTCACCGTGTGCTGGCACTGTCACCGTGTACCAGGGTGACACAGTGCCAGGCTGGGGGTGACCCTGTCCGGCCCCCTCTGCCAGGCCCTGGGGACAGGGGCTGTGGGGACATGGCTGGCGAGCTGAGGGGTGACATGGGGCATTGAGGGTGGCAGCGGTGGTGGCCAAGGGATGGTGACCCTGAGGGATGCCACCACGGCCTGAGGGACCTCACAGGGACAGAGGTGTGACGTCCCCGTGGTCGGAGGGACCCAGGATGGCTCAAGTGACCCAGGGGACACGGCTGTGACGGTCCCACAGCCAGAGGGGTCCCGAGAGACGCAGATGTGGTGGCACAGTGTGGCCCTGAGCTCCTGGTGCTGCCACTGCTGGGTGAGGTCAGGGTGCCATTCCCGGTGCCAGTCCTGGTGCCATTCCCGGTGCCATTCCCGGTTCCGTGTCCCGGTTCTGTGTCCCGGTTCCGTGTCCCGGTGCCACCCCCGGCTGCCGCTGCCTGTGCCCGGGGAGCAGCTGCGGCCGGTCCCGCTGTCCCCTCTGTCCCGCTGTCCCCGCTGTCCCCGCTGTCCCGCTGTCCCACTGTCCCCGCTGTCCCCGCTGTCCCCGCTGTCCCCGCTGTCCCCGCTGTCCCGCTGTCCCGCTGTCCCCGCTGTCCCCGCTGTCCCGGCTGTCCCCGCTGTCCCGCTGTCCCCGCTGTCCCCGCTGTCCCCGCTGTCCCCGCTGTCCCGCTGTCCCGCTGTCCCCGCTGTCCCGGCTGTCCCGCTGTCCCCGCTGTCCCCGCTGTCCCCACTGTCCCCGCTGTCCCGCTGTCCCCTCCCGCCTGACCTCATTTCCAGCTCCGAGGCTCCGGTTATGCAATTCCCGCAGAGCGGAGCTGGCCGGCAGCCCGGGCACCGCCGCCGGGCACCGCGGGCACCGGGAGCCCCCCGGGGCGCGGGACGGGCCCGCTGGGAGGGCTCGGTGCCCGGTGCCCGGTGCCACCGGGGCTTGTGCCCTGGCAGCGCTGGTGGCACTGGGGACACGCGGGTGTCACACGGAGGGCAGGGGGCACAGCCGGGGGCTGCCGGACCTGCCCGGTGGGCAGCGGGAGGAGGAGGAGGAGGGCTGGGATGAAGGGCAGGGGGGTCAGCAATGAGGGGATGGAGCCGGGCCCGCGGGCACGGACGGGGGGCTCGGGGAGCAGCCCCGGGGGCAGCCGCTGACCCGAGCCCCGGCCCGGTGCGGGGGGACCCGGAGGCTCCCGGCGGTGCCCCGGCTGTGCCCCGGCTGTGCCCCCGGGCCCGGGGCTGGCTGCGGGTGCTGCCAAATGGGGGGGCCTGAGGTGCCTTGGGGTGCACAGAGATCCTGGGAGCCCCACGGGGTCTTCGGGGTCCCCTTGGGGTGCACAGAGATCCTGGGAGCCCCACGGGGCCTTCGGGGTCCCCTTGGGGTGCACAGAGATCCTGGGAGCCCCACGGGGCGTTTGGGGTCCCCTTGGGGTGCACAGAGATCCTGGGAGCCCCACGGGGCCTTCGGGGTCTCCTTGGGGTGCTGGAGCTTCTTGGGCTCTCCATGGGGCACTCGGGGTCTCTGTGGGGTCTCTGTGGGGTTCCTGCGGTCTCCGTGGGGTGCACCAGACCTTGGGGTCTCCGTGGGGTTCCTGGGGTCTTCCAGGAGCGGGAGCCGCCCCTCCCCCTGCAGCTGGCAATAATCGGGATTAATTACGGCTCTAATGAGCCGTGAAAGGGTTACGGGCCGTGGGACGAGCAGCGGGCGGGGACATCGGGCCTGGCCTGGCAGCACCCACCGCCCCGCGGGAGGGGACAGCGTGGGAGGGGGCCCGGGCTGGGCTGTGGGTGTCACCGCCTGGGTGACACCGAGCGTGGGCTGTGCTGTGGGTGACACCGAGCCCGGGGTGTCCTGTGGGTGCCACCGCCTGGGTGACACCGAGACCGGGGTGTCCTGTGGGTGCCACCACCTGGGTGACACCGGGCGTGGGGTGTCCTGTGGGTGTCACCGAGCCCGGGGTGTGCTGTGGGTGTCACCAAGCCCGGGCTGTGCTGTGGGTGCCACAGCCTGGGTGACACCGAGCCCGGGGTGTGCTGTGGGTGTCACCGAGCCCGGGCTGTGCTGTGGGTGTCACTGCCTGGGTGACACCGAGCCCGGGGTGTGCTGTGGGTGTCACCGAGCGCGGGGTGAGCTGTGGGTGCCACAGCTTGGGTGACACCGAGCCCGGGCTGTGTCGTGTGGGTGTCACCGCCTGGGTGACACCGAGCCCGGGCTGTCCTGTGGGTGACACCGAGCCTGGGGTGTCCTGTGGGTGACACCGAGCGTGGGGTGTCCTGTGGGTGTCACCGCCTGGGTGACCCCGGGGTGTCCTGTGGGTGTCCCCACCCTGATGCCCGGAGCCCGGGTGTGCCCGCGGGCGCTGGGGGTTCTGTCCCCACCTCGGTGGCCCCGAGCCCGCTCCCCGCTGCCAGATGTGCGGCTGTGCGGGGGCACATCTGGGCCGGGCAGCTGTGCGGGCCGAACACTGGCGGCTCTGTGCGCTGCCGGTGACCGCGGCCATGACCAATGCGGATCTCCGCTCGGCCCGGCCCGCAGCTGCTCCGCCTCCCTCCCGGGAGAACCGGCTCCCCTTTCTCCATCAATCCGCCTTTCCACACGGCCAAGGGACGAGACACCGCGGGGAGGAGATGGATTTATTAAATATTTGGCGGATGACAGAACATGTCTCCCTGCTCGCAGGCTGCTGCTGGAAACGTTCCCGGTGCTTACGGCACCGCTGCGGCGTCGCCAGCCGCTCCCGGGGACAGAACCGGTACCGGGGACAATCCCGGTACCGGGGACAGAACCGGTACCGGGGACAGAACCCATCCCGGGGACAATCCCGGTACCGGGGACAGAACCGGTCCCGGGGACAGAACCGGTACCGGGGACAGAACCGGTACCGGGGACAGAACCGATCCCAAGAACAGTCCTGCCCGCTCCCAGGGACAATCCTGATCCCGGGACAATCCTGATCCCGGGACAGTCCCGCTCCCGGGGCTCCCGGGGCTCCCGGGGCCAATCCCGCGCTCCCGTGTGCCTGCAGGAATAGGGAATGGCACCGGAGCTCGGTGTGGCACTGCCAGGGCTTGGGGAGCCAGGAGTGGCAGGAGCAGCCCTGTCCCTGTGCGTGTCACCCACAGTGGGGTCCCGGTGGCTGCCGTGCCCCCTCCCTGCCCCGTGGCAGCTGGGGTGTCCCTGTCCCGGCATTAACCCGGGATTAATTGGGGTGTCCCTGTCCTGGCATTAACCCGGGATTAATTGGGGTGTCCCTGTCCCGGCATTAACCCGGGATTAATTGGGGTGTCCCTGTCCTGGCATTAACCCGGGATTAATTGGGGTGTCCCTGTCCTGGCATCAACCCTGATCAGGAGGCTGCAGCTGGGTGAGCCCCGAGGCTCTGCCCCAGCCTGTGTCCAGCCCAGGGGCAATTAAAAACGGGGTTAATTACCTCCCTAAGTGACACCCTTGGGTGACATGTCGCAACAGGGCCCTGGGCGCCCCAATCCTCCTCTCCTCGGTGTCGGGGGTGCTGGGGAGGCCCTGCAGGTTCCTTCCCTCCCCTCCAAGCCCTGGATGCCACCAGGCTTCCCACAGCAAGCCCAGGTGCCCCAGCCCCGCTCTGCCACCGTCCCTCCCTGGCAGTGCCCTGGCAGGGCTGGGTGGGCACCCCCAGCCTCTTGCCTGCAGGAGGGGCTGGGAGACCCCCAGGACGTGCTGGGAGAGCCCCCAACCCCTCTCAGCTCTGCTTGGGGGACAGACCCGACCCCCTGCAGCTGTGACACCCCCAGCTCCTGGTGGCTGCTGCCACCCCACTTGGGCCATTGGAAAACATCCCCATTGTCTGTGCTTGGGCCCACAGCACAGCCAGAGGTGCTGCATGCCCAAATGCAGCAAATTCAGCTGAAAACCCACGTGAGGTGGTCCCTGTCTCTGTCCTGGTTCCCATCTCCCCATCCTCATCCCCGTTCCTGTCTGCAGTCCCATTCCTATCTCCATCTCCCATCTCTCTCCCCATCCCTGTCCTTATCCCCATTCCCATCTTCATCCTCATCCCTTATCCCTGTCCTTACTGCCATTCCCATACCCATCCCTGTCCCTGTCCCTGTCCCCATCCCTGTCCCTGTCCCCATCCCTGTCCATGTTCCCAATCCCATCCCTGTCCTTGTCCCCATCTCCATTCCTGTCCTTGTCCCCGTCCCTGTTCCTGTCCCCCCTTTTCCAGCTGAAGCTGCTTTTCCCTCCAGCTTCTTCTGGCTCGTTTCCAGCGCTTCCATCAAGCCAGGCCTGTGGCCACCAGGCTTTTCCTGTCCCTGTCCCTGTCCCTGTCCCTGTCCCTGTCCCTGTCCTTGTCCCTGTCCCTTGTCCCTTGTCCCTGTCCCTGTCCCTGCTCGGTGAGGGTGAGCCCTTCTGGGGCTGGCTCACTGTGGGGGTGCTGGGGATCCCCTCATCCATCACCCTCCATAAATATTTACGGATGCATCAGGGCCGTGGCTCCTTCCACTAAAAACGACATTTCCTTCCACTAAAAATGACATTTCCTTCCACTAAAAATGACGTTTCCTTCCACTAAAAATGACATTTCCTTCCACTAAACCCGACATTCCCGAGCCCGCAGGAACGGCACCGCCGCTGCCCGGGGCTGCTGGCCGTGTTTTGGGAGCTGATGGAGCAGGGTGAGCTGCCATCCCTGCTCCCTTTTTCCCTGATTTCCACCAAAACTGAGCCCAGCTCCCGATGCCGCTGCTCCTCTCGGCCTGGCCTGGTCCCCCCTCAATTCCCGGCACCAGAGCCCGGTGGCCCACCCCGGAGGACGTGGCCTCTCTCCTGGCTCCAGGCGGGTCCCTAAAAGCTGAATCCCCTCGTGCCGTGCCCCAGGACCGGGGGCTGCAGCCCCTGCTCCGGGACAGACCCGGGAGCAGCGAGCGGCGCGGAACAGAGCGGCACACGGAGCGGGGACAGCCACCAGCAGCGTCCTTTCGGAGCGGGGACAGCCACCAGCAGTGTCCTTTCGGAGCGGGGACAGCCACCAGCAGCGTCCTTTCGGAGCGGGGACAGCCACCAGCAGCGTCCTTTCGGAGCGGGGACAGCCACCAGCAGCGTCCTTTCGGAGCGGGGACAGCCACCAGCAGTGTCCTTTCGGGTGGTTTTTGGTTGTTCGGCCTCCCGGGAGCGGCTGAGAGGGTGGGACAGGTCTGGTCACACCGAGGGGACATGCAATGGCCTGAGGGGCAGCGCTGCCGAGGTCCTGGGGCAGCTCCCGCTGCTGTCGGGGAGCTGCAGCGGTGGAGATCGGTCACGGTTGCACGATGGTGATGGATTGCCTGGAACTGCCTCTTCTGAGGGGGGAGACGTCCCTCGACGGCAGGAGCAACCTCCGAGCCTGCGGCACCAGGAACCCCGTCAGGGTCTGCAGAGATCCCGCAGAGATCCCATAGAAACCCCCTAGAGATCCTGCAGAGATCCCACAGTGATCCCATAGAAATCCCACAGAGATCCTGCAGAGATCCCACAGAAATCCCACAGAGATCCCACAGTGATCCCACAGAGATCCCACAGAGATCCCATAGAAATCCTGCAGTGATCCCAGAGAGATCCCACAGTGATCCCACAGTGATCCCACAGTGATCCCACAGTGATCCCACAGTGATCCCATAGAAATCCTGTAGAGATCACATAGAAATCCTGCAGTGATCCCACAGAGATCCCACAGAGATCCCACAGTGATCCCACAGTGATCCCACAGAGATCCCACAGTGATCCCATAGAAATCCTGCAGAGATCCCACAGAGATCCCACAGAGATCCTGCAGAGATCCCACAGAAATCCCACAGAGATCCCACAGAGATCCCACAGAGATCCTGCAGAGATCCCATAGAAATCCTGCAGAGATCCCACAGAGATCCCACAGAGATCCCACAGAAATCCCACAGAGATCCCACAGAGATCCCACAGTGATCCCATAGAAATCCTGCAGAGATCCCATAGAAATCCTGCAGAGATCCCACAGTGATCCCACAGAGATCCCATAGAAATCCTGCAGAGATCCCACAATGATCCCACAGAGATCCCATAGAAATCCTACAGAGATCCCGCTGAGATCACACAGAAATCCCATAGAAATCCCACAGAAATCCCCTAGAGATCCTGCAGAGATCCCACAGAGATCCCACAGTGATCCCACAGAGATCCCACAGAGATCCCACAGAGACCCCATAGAAATCCCATAGAGATCCTGCAGAGATCTCACAGAAATCCCACAGAGATCCTACAGCAATCCTGCAGAGACCCTGCAGAGATCACACAGAAATCTCACTGAGATCCTGCAGGAACCCTGCTGAGATCCCACTGAGATCGTGCAGAGACCTCACAGCGATCCCACAGCAATCTCACAGAGATCCCACAGAGATCCCACAGAAATCCCACCGAGATCCCGCCTGGCCCCGAGGCCAGCAGTGGTAGCTGGGGAGGGAAGGGAGCCCCAGGAGGGGCTGGGGGAGCTGGGAAGGGGCTCAGCCTGGAGAAAAGGAGGCTCAGGGGGGACCTTGTGGCTCTGCACAGCTCCTGACAGGAGGGGACAGCCAGGGGGGGTCGGGCTCTGCTCCAGGGAACAGGGACAGGACACGGGGAAATGGGCTCAGGCTGGGCCAGGGCAGGCTCAGGGTGGGCAGCAGCAGGAATTTCTGCCTGGAAAGGGCGCTCAGGCCTTGGCACTGCCCAGGGAGGGTTGGAGTGCCCATCCTGGAGGGTTCCAAGGCCCTGTGGATGTGGCATTGGGGACAGGGGTCGTGGTGGCCTGGGCAGTGCTGGCATGGCTGGTCCCTCTCCCTCGTTTCTCAGAGCTGCTCCTCGCTGGCGCTGGGGTCCCGCCGGGCTCGGGGGGCACTGGGGCTCCCCCTGCCCCGACCAGCCCGGGGGTGGCAGGGTCACCCCCGTCCCTTTCTCTGAGCCTCCCAGGGCTGCAGGAAAAGCCTCACCGGGCTCTGGCAGCCCACCCCTCCACCGCTGCAATTTCACTGTTCTTGAGTTACCAGATTGTTTCCCAGATCAGGCAGGACTTGAATTTCTAATGCAAAAACTGTCGGAGAGACTCCCGAGCCCCTCTGGGGCTCTCTCCTTGCGCTGCTGGGGGGTGGGAAGGGCAAATCCCCTTTTTTCCCTTGGCAGAGGCGCTGCTGCCGGGCTGATCCCACAAAATCCTGCTTTGGATCCAGCAGGGATTCTCTGGCCCCTGGCAGGGGGACAGTGACAGGTGACAGGGTTTCTCCACCCGGGCAGAGGGAAGAGGTGGCAGAGGAAGGTCCCTCCTGCTGTCCCCGTCCCCTCCTGGTCCCCTCCTGGTCCTGGTGACCCCGGGAGGATTTTCTCCTCCTGCCCACCGGGAGTGGGGGGAGATGGGCAAACTTCCAGAGGGTGGAAACCCGAGCTGCTCCTGGCAGCTTTTCAGGTGGGGGAGATACGGATCTCCCTGGAGATCTCCGGGCTCCAGCCTTGCCCCTCTCTGTCTGTCTGTCTGTCTGTCTGTCTGTCTGTCCACCTGCTGTGCCTCCTTATTAACTGAGAGCCTTTCCGGGGGCACACAATGGATTTTGGGTTTGTCTGGACAGTGTCCATCACCAGGGGCTCCTGTTTCCTGTTACAGAGGGGACAATAAAATGGGAGATAAGGTTGGCAGAGCTGGTGACAATACAGTGGGAGATAAGGCTGGCAGAGCTGGTGTCGGTGTTTTCCCACTCTGGGGAGAGCTCAGAGCCCCTGGCAGGGCCTGGAGGGGATCCAGGAGAGCTGCAGAGGGACTGGGGACAAGGGACAGAGGAACAGGACCCAGGGAATGGCTCCCACTGCCCCAGGGCAGGGCTGGGTGGGAGATTGGGAATTGGGAATTGTTCCCTGGCAGGGTGGGCAGGGCTGGGATGGAATTCCCAGAGCAGCTGTGGTGTCCCTGGATCCCTGGCAGTGCCCCAGGCCAGGCTGGACACTGGGGCTGGAGCACTGGGACAGTGGAAGTGTCCCTGCCATGGCACTGGATGGGCTCTGAGGTCCCTTCCCACCCATCCCGTTCCATAATTCTGTGGAAAACATCCCTGTGAGCCCTGCGGGGACCTTCCTGGTGCAGGGTCAGGACAGGAGCAGGAGGGGACAGAGCCCCAGGAGCTGCTGGAGGTGGGACACGGGTCCGTCCTTACCTGAGCTGCTGTCCAGCCTGCGGCCCCTCCTAACCTGCAGAGACAGGGAGGAGCAGGTTAGCAAGGGAAATTTCATTTTGGGTAGGAAGGGGAGATTTCATTGTGGGTAGTGAGGGGAGATCTCATTTTGGGTAGGAAGGGAGATTTCATTTTGGGTAGTGAGGGGAGATTTCATTTTGGGTAGTGAGGGGAGATTTCATTTTGGGTAGTGAGGGGAGATTTCATTTTGGGTAGGAAGGGGAGATTTCATTTTGGGTAACAAGGGGAGATTTCATTTTGGGTAGGAAGGGGAGATTTAATTTTGGGTAACAAGGCAGCCTCTCATTTCCCACCAAACGAAGGATCTGCCCCAGGAGTGCCCACCTGCACAGGCACAGCAGCTCCTGTGCCACCCAGGCAGGCAGGGACCTGCTCCTGACCCGGGGGTGACCCATCCCCAGCCCCCAGCGCTGCCCAGGGGCTCCTCCCGTGTCCCCTGAGGGTCCCCAAGGGTGGACACCCCACAGCTGTGCTTCACCAGCCTTGGGGTAAAGAGGCATTTTTGTGTCCAAAGGCAATTCCCTTTATTCCTGTCCCTTGTCATCTCCCCAGGCACCACGGAGAAGATCGTGGCCCTGGGCACTGCCAGGGATCCAGGGGCACCACAGCTGCTCTGGGCACCTGTGCCAGGGCTGGAACCCCACTTCAAACTGGTGTTTGTGTCCAGGAACTGCAATGGATCAGAAAACTCTGGTTCCTGGGGTTTGAGCAGAGCCCTGGTCCCCCTGCACTGGTTCCAGGGCTCTAAAATCCAACTGGGCAGCGAGGAAGGGACAAGGACGTGGTGAGCCTCAGGTGACACCGTGCTGGCCCCAGGAGGAACAGGACTGGCAGCAGGGACTGCAGGGTGGCCCTGGCACAGCTGGTCCCACCTGGGGAACACCTGGCACAGGGAAGGGGTGGGGGCACCAGGATCCACAGGGGGACACACGGTGAGCACCGAGGCTGAGCTGCCACGGCGTGCCAGCCCCGGGCCGGGATGCAGGAGGGGTGTGCCAGCCCCAGGTGGGATGCAGGAGGGGTGTGCAGCCCCAGGTGGGATGCAGGAGGGGTGTGCCAGCCCCGGGTGGGATGCAGGAGGGGTGTGCCAGCCCCGGGTGGGATGGAGGAGGCTCTGCCCGCTCCCAGCTGTGGCCTGCAGAGCCTGGGGACCTCGGGGACACCTCTGGGGACACCGCTGTGTGATCCCAGCCCTGGGGGAGGCAGCTGGGGGGGATTTGCTACCCAAACCAAAGTGACAAATCCTCCTCCCGGAGCACTTCGTCCCCCAAAGCCACACCTGCAGCATCCCAGGTCAGTGCTGGGGCTCATTAATTGGGAATAAGATAAAAACACAGCAGGGAAATAGGAAATAACTGCGTGAAGGAACTGGCGAGGAAGCCCGAGGATGCTGCTGTCCCTAGGAGTGGCTTTAAATCAAAAGAAGGTTGATTTGGAATGGAGCTCGGGCAGGAATTGCTCCCTGGGAGGGTCCTGAGGCCCTGGCACGGGGTGCCCAGAGCAGTGCCCAAGGCCAGAGTGGGCAGGGTGGGAGCACGTTGGGACGGGGGAAGGTGTCCCAGGGGTGGCACTGGATGGGCTCTGAGACCCTTCCCACGCAGACCATTGTGGGATGATTCCTGGATCCCTGTCAGTGGCACCCTGTGAGGAGCAGGCTTTGGTGTCACCCACCCTGCTGTGCCCTGCCCTGCGCTTCCATACTGATCCTTCCTGGATCTCCCTGCCAGGGCTTTACCTCAGCGGCTCTGGGACTGCCATACGCTGCTTTTTCCCTGGCAGGGATAATATTTACATTCCACACGGAGCCTCTTGGACACAGCTCTGCTCTTGGACACGTCCCTGCCCGGCCATGAGTAACGGGGAGGGTTTGTGTCTGTCTCTGCCCCGTCCCTCATCCCCCACGCCCCACACTGCCCCTGTCCCCTGCCAGACACCAGCAGATCTGGAAAGAGCCCTGCGGGTCATCTGGTAAGCATCCCAAACATTCCAGTGATGAGGAATGTTCTGGGGCAAAGAGGGTCCTGCGACTTGGCCGGTTCTGCTCTGGAAGCTCCATTTCAGCCACAATGGACCTTCCCAAACGCTCCTTCCCGCCAAGGTCAGGAGCTGGGGGGCAGAGAACGGAGCACCTCCAAAGCCCTGGGTGCCTGCAGCGGCCAGCGGGAGGGAGAGCTCGGGAATGACTCCTGGGAGCAGCGGCTGGGCCAGCAGGAAACGTGTGTGGAACAAACCAGGCTCACAGTCCTGCTCTGCGATGCTGGAACTGGGTTTGGCTGGAGCCAGAGAAATGCCAGCACCGATTCACACCCAGCCAAGGCTGCTCCTCTGTTGGGTTTGAAACATGGAAGGCAGAAGCCAAGAGAGCCCCGAGTGAGCTCCTGTCCCTGGGAGGCTCCTGGAGCACGGGGTGAGGAGCAGATCCTGGCACTCCCTCCCTCACACACGGGGTGAGGAGCAGATCCTGGCATTCCCTCCCTCACACACGGGGTGAGGAGCAGATCCTGGCACTCCCTCCCTCACACACGGGGTGAGGAGCAGATCCTGGCACTCCCTCCCTCACACACGGGGTGAGGAGCAGATCCTGGCATTCCCTCCCTCACCCTGCCCTGAGGCCACGAGGATCCTCTGAGCTGGGGACAACTCCTGGAATGTGCCACAGAGGGAAAGCCTGGGACACCAGGGACACGGGCATGAAAGGGAGGGACCTCCCATGACACGGATGGCACTGCTGCTCTGGGATCTCCATTGGCACAGGGACACTTGTCCAGCCAAGGTCACTTTGGGATGGATTCCCGTTGGCACAGGGACATTTGTCCAGCTGAGGTCACCAAGGGATCCCCATCGGCACAGGGACATTTGTCCAGCCAAGGTCACTTTGGGATGGATTCCCATTGGCACAGGGACATTTGTCCAGCCAAAGTCACCAAGGGATAGATCCCCATCAGCACAGGGACACTTGTCCAGCCAAGGTCACCATCAGCACAGGGACACTCGTCCAGCCAAGGTCACCGTGGGCAGGGCTGGGCAGGTGACAGTGGCACCGCTCAGGGGCTGTCCTGGTGACTGCCCCACTCTGGGCTCTGTCACCCCTCTGAGCTGGATTTCTCACAGCCCCTGGAGCAGCTCCTCCTCCTCCTCCTCCTCCTCCTCCTCCTCCTCGCTCCCATTCCCGTGGGTGGCCTTTGCTGTGGGAAAAGCCGGGCCCAGGACAGGGCTGTGACACCGACCCGTGGCACCTGCTGGGGACAGGGACTGGGGCTGGGAGGTGGCATGTGCCAGGGCAGACACAGCACCTGGGAGGGGGCTGCTTCCCCAGAGCCACCTGTGCCCAGGGACACCCACCTGCACCTGGGGACATCCACCTGCACCTGGGGACACCCACCTGCACCTGGGGACACCCACCTGCACCCAGAGCCATCCACCTGCACCCAGGGCCATCCACCTGCACCCAGGGACACCCACCTGCACCCAGAGCCATCCACCTGCACCCAGGGCCATCAACCTGCACCCAGGGACATCCACCTGCACCCAGGGACACCCACCTGCACCTGGGGACACCCACCTGCACCCAGAGCCATCCACCTGCACCCAGGGACATCCACCTGCACCCAGGGACACCCACCTGCACCTGAGGACATCCACCTGCACCCTGGGGACACCCACCTGCACCCTGGGGACACCCACCTGCACCCAGGGACATCCACCTGTACCTGGGGACATCCACCTACACCCAGGGACACCCACCTGCACCTGGGGACACCCACCTGCACCCAGAGCCATCCACCTGCACCCAGGGACACCCACCTGCACCCAGGGACACCCACCTGCACCCAGAGCCATCCACCTGCACCCAGGGACACCCACCTGCACCTGGGGACACCCACCTGCACCTGGGGACATCCACCTGCACCCAGGGACACCCACCTGCACCCGGGGACACCCACCTGCACCCAGGGACACCCACCTGCACCTGGGGACACCCACCTGCACCTGGGGACATCCACCTGCACCCAGGGCCACCCACCTGCACCCAGGGACACCCACCTGTGCCCAGGGACATCCACCTGCACCCAGGGACACCCACCTGCACCCAGGGGCCCTCTGGGGCTGCAAAGGGAGCCCGTGAACCCACAGAGGAGCGATCAGAAAATGCTGCAGAGCTCTGGGACGGGTTTGTCCCCTCACCTCGGTCCTTCCCGTTCTGCAGCTTCTCTGTTTCTTCTTCGTCCTCTTCCTCTGCTTCAGGAAAAAACACGGAAAGAAAAAGCAGATGTGAGACAGGTGGGTGAGAGGAGAGAGGCAATCGTGGAATTGTTTGGGTTGGAAAATCCCTCAGACCATCGAGTGCAGTTGTTCCCCCAGCACTGCCAGGGCCACCAGTGCCCCCTGTCCCCAAGTGCCACATCCACAGGGCCTTTAAACCCCTCCAGGGGTGGGGAACTCCATCACCTCCCTGGGCAGCAATGCCTGACAGCCCCTCCCATGAAGAAATCCTTCCCGAATTTCGGCTCTTTCCTGGTGAGAGCTGTGGGCTTGCCCTGTCTGACCCAGGTGAGTTTCTGGCAGGGTAGGGGGAGCAGAAGGTGACATTGTCCTGCAGGTGGTGGCTCTTATCTCACTGCACCTCTTCCCCAGCCCTGTGCAAAGAGCTGATGGTTATCCTGAGGGTGGTGTCACCCTGCAGAGGTGGGAGAGCACAGCAGGGAGAACCCCCAGCGACAGGCAGGGCTGGGAGGTGTGCTGGCACTGCAGCCAAACCCATCTCCACAAATGGAAAACATCCCGGGTGGGAATGGGAGGGGAATGCACATGTGGACTGAACTAAAGATGTGTGGTTGTACCACGAGGTCTGATCTTTGAATTGACTGTGAGAGGGAGCAACATCTTCAACCAAAGATTGATTTCCCTGCATAATTCAATTTGACACAATAGATCATGTACATAGAGCCAGAGATCTCCAGTTCCTGAGGGTTGGAAGATGCCTTGGGAAGATGAGGAACCCACTGTTCCCATGCATTATGTTCCCATAATCTAAAGGTTATTTGGGGGTGATCCCATACATGTGCCTGCTACAGCTTTGTGAATATCTCTGGGGATTGGCCGAACATCCACTGGCACAGCAGCCAAACAGGTGGGAATGCTTTCCTGGGGTGGTGTTGGACAAACATGTGGTGTCTAAACCTGCAGCTTTAGCTAAAGTCACCCAAACATTGGCTTTAGGTTGGCTAAAGCAGCTGGAGAACAGCTGGAGAACCAGAGGTGTCTGCAGTGGATGTGACAGGAGGGAACTCGCAGACACGTCCTTGGTGGCTTTGAGAGCAGGACAGTGACACGTGGGGGTCACTCGGCTGCACTGGGTCCTGGAAGGGAGAGCTGAGGAGATCAGGGACAAAGGCAGAACCTCTGGAATTGCCAGGACTGTGACCTGGAGCTCAGCGTTGGGTCAGGAGCAGAGTGAAAATGGAATAAAAACGGGCTCAGGGTTTCCCCAGCAGCACTGGGAGCCCCAGAGTGCCACTTCTGCACCTGTGAACGTGGCACCTGTGGGGCACTGGTGGCCTTGGCAGGACTCAGCAGGCTCAGAGATCTTTCCCACCCTCGATTTTGTGGTTCTGTAATTCTGTGACTCCACAACTCCATCACAGAACTCTGGAATGTCCTGGGCTGGCAGGGACCCACAGGGATCACAGAGTCCAACTGCTGCCCCTGCCCAGACCCCCAAATCCCACCCTGGGCACCCCTGGCAGCACTGTCCAAACCCTCCTGGAGCTCTGCCAGCCTCAGGACCTGGGCAGTGCCAGCCTGGGGTCTGTGCCCATTCCCTGGGGACCTGGGCAGTGCCAGCCTGGGGTCTGTGTCCCTTCCCTGGGGACCTGGGCAGTGCCAGCCTGGGGTCTGTGCCCGTTCCCTGGGGACCTGGGCAGTGCCAGCCCCCTCTGGGGAAGATCCTTTCCTGCTCTCCAGCCAACCCTCCCCGACACCATGGCAGGAGGAGGTGGCTGGGGCCATCAGGGCACCCTGGGGAGCCCTGGGAGGACGGGGTGGTGCTGCTGCCTGTGTCCCCTCCCAGGGAACCCCCTGCCCTGGGCAGGGAAGGGACAGGGCAGGGACAGGGACAGGCCAGGACATGGCAGGGCGGGCTGGGAGCTGCAGCCTCACTGCTTCCCCACCCTCCCACGCCTCTCTGCTCCCACCCTCCCCCTGGGACACGAGGTGTGACATGCTCTGGCTGCCATCAGCTGAGGATCACTCCTGCTCTTCCTCATCTCCACAAACCACAGCGCTGCAGACACTTCCAGGGGAGCCTTCCCTGGTGTCTGCAGCTCCTGGAGCACCAGCCTGGCAGCAGCTCAGTCCCACTCCCTGGTGACCCACACGGCTTTGGGGGCCCCTGGCACGGCTGGTGGCCAGGGACGGCCCCGGGGAGGGCTGCAGGTTTGGGATGGAGACCAGGGAACGCTTTGGACAACGCCCTCAGGCACGGCTGGGATGGCTGGGGTGTCCTGGACTCCACCATCCCCGTGGGCCTGACTCGGTTATTGCACAGGTCTGTGCTTCTACAGCACTTGCTGTGCCTTGGAAAGCAAAAAGGGATGAGTGCAGGCTCTGGGCAGAGGTTTGTTCTCTGCGTTTGGGCCCTGGGGCAGAGCTGAGGTGATTTATGGGGGAGCTGGTGGCCCTGCCAGGGCCCTGCTGCTGCTGTGTCACCCACAGACAACTTTATTAACTCCCAGCTGCTGCTGCTGCCAGGACACAGGGCTGACAGGGGATTTACTGCTGGCCACTGAAACACCCTGTCCATGTCTGTGGGAATCCAGAGCTTCCCTCTGGCTGCCCTGGGACCCTGGCAGGGGTCAGGAACCCCCCTGGACAGAGCCCCCAGAGACACTGGCTGTGATCTCTGTCCATGGAAAAGAGTTTTCAATCTTACAGGGTGAATTACAAGCTCTGAGTGTTTGATATGAGTAATAATTAAGTGTAACACGGGTGCAGAAGTAAAATTTTAGGTTTCTAGATTAGGGGTTCAGAGGGGACAAGATGGAGGAAATTGGGTGTGTCTTGTCCTTTTTCTCCTTCTTCATGCCCTCCATGTTTCACTGTGGTGTTGGCATTTTTCTGTTGGTTCAGGCTGGGGACACACTGTCCAACGTAGGTGACAGATATTGGCACGTTATTGTAAATCCAGCACAGGTAGTTTGTGGTATTTAATGTTTGTAACATCCCACTGAGGGCAGAGCCCCACACGCTGCCCTGCAGGACAGAGCTGCGGCAGGGCAGCAGAACATGTTAGAGATAAACAGAATAAACAACCTTGAAACCAGCACAGACCAATTATGGCTTCTGCTTTGGCAGTGGGGCTGACAGACAGAGACTTTCTACAATCTCAGAATCACCAATACCCACAGATTCTGACACATGTCCATCCCGGGAGGCTCCAGCGTGGCAGAGCCTCGAGGGAGAGACATTTGTGGGGAATTTGGGCCCAGCAGGGAGCAGGAGCAGACCCAGGACACTTCCAGAAACTGAACCCCAGGATCCTTCACCTTGCAGAAGGGCAGCCAGAGTCCAGCCTGGGACTGCTCCCAGCCCAGGGCACCGAGCTCATCCTTCCCTGGACACCTCCAGGGATGAGCACTGGAGAGCCCCTCTCAAAGCCTGGACACGTTTCCATGAAGCAATCCCTGCTGGAAGCGGCTGCTGGAGCATCTGCACTCCCAGCCCTGCTGCTGCTGAGGCTGCAGGGCCAGGGGACCCTTCCCTGGGACCTGCCCCGGCCCCAGAGGGGTGTTCAGCTCCCCTGGCACGGGGAAGGGGCACAGAGGGAGTAATTATCTGTTTTCCACATCATTGTTTAACAACAAGGGATGGAATTGGCCTCCTGCACAGTTATTGAGACGTGGTTGCATCATCTGATGGGAGTCACGGCAGAGGGCTCACCTGCTGCCCAGGTACAGCAGGGCTCAGCAGGAATTTGGGGATGCTCACTCCAAAAACCTGCTCTGGCTTGTGACTGTGCCATTAAGATCATCACCCAGCACTGCCCAGGCTGGTGATGTTGGCTATGAAAGCGATTTTTCATTGAGAATGTGGACACACGGTCTCACATGGCAGAAAACAACAGAAAACAAACCTCGTTTTAAGAGAAATAATGGTTAATAGAAGAAGAGTTTTAACAGAAGAGAAATCTAAGGACAAAGCTTCAGCCCGTGGCTTCCAGCTCTGCTCCTGGCACGCCCTGGCTCAGCCCTCACCTGAGTGCAGCTCCTTCACCAGCGAGGACATGGTGTTGGTGATGGAGTCAGCTGCCACCAGCAGGTCGTTGCGGAGGTTCCTCCTCGTACCTGGGAGGGGCAGGCTCGGAGTCAGGAGGGGCTGCAGAGCCACTGCCCTGCAACCCCTGTGCCCCCCAGCCTCAGTGTCCCACCTGGGCTGGCTCCCCAGGCAGGGGGATGGGGATGGGGATGGGGATTCACCCTGGAGCTCTGCTCCCCCTGTGACAGTGGCAGTGACAGTGGCAGTGACACCCCTGCCCGCTCCCCCCGTGGGCACACGAGTGGCACAGGGATCACCCCTCCTGAAGGCCACCACCCCTCAGATCAGGGACCTGCCCGTCCCTGGAAGGGCTCAAGGCCAGGCTGGAACAACCTGGGGTGGTGTCCCTGCTGTGGAGCAGCTGGATCGTGTCACCAGGCCCACCCAGACATCTGGCTGGGACAGCCGGTTATTTCATTAAGTGAAAAAATCCACCTTTTATTCTGTTTTATTCTGTTTCCTGTGTTCGCCACTGGCCCCGGCGTGCCTGATTCTGTGTGATTAATATGAAATACGCTAAATAGCACTAATTGTGCAGACTGCCTTTCCGGAAGGAGCGTTCCAGGAATGCCTGCAGGGTCTGGTCAGCAGGAGAACCAGCCCCACCGTGGCTACCTCGGGAGGAACTGCCCCTGCTGTGGGCAGTGCTGGATCCCAGGATTCCCCAGGGACTGTTTTCTTCTCTTCCAACAGCAGAACTGATTTTCTAATTACATGGTGGCCTCTGTAGTGAGCATTTCACCCAGAAACCATCAGGGTGTTTTACCCCAAACCTGTCACCGTCCCAGTGCCAATCGTGGTAATCCTCTGCTGAGTGGAAGATCAGGAGATCACCTAAGGAGGAAACTTTTCTAATCTCAAGATGGGAAGGCCAAGATCTCTGGGACTCAGTTCTTCAAAGATTTCCTGCTCCAGAATTCCCCCCACGGATGGGGCAGCTCGGGCAGGGAGGAAAATTGAGCCCTTGGTGTCCCTGTGCCCTCCCCACAGCGAGAGGTGGAACCAGCTCATTTTTCAGTGTCTGGTGGATATGCAAAAGGCAGCATGATCATTGAGATGTTTTTGGTGAAGAAGAATCAGTGTGCTGAGGGGTGTCTGTGGGCTTGTTTAGGTCCCCACCGACACCTGGCTCCTTGCAACACATGTCTGGGATGCTGCCAGGGGTTAAAAACCTGGGAAAAGCACAAGGTTTCACAGAGGGGGATCTCAGCAGGCCCTGAGCAAGGGCAGTCCTTAGGGAGAGGCAGCAAGGAGCTGTTGGTGGTGTAAATTCCTTCAGGGAACATCATCCTCACAGAAACTAACTTCATTCAGCTCAAAAATTCAAAATGTGCCCCCAGCTTTGGTCCAGGGCACAGGAAAGGGGTTTGTGATGTCTGCCTTGACATGGTGAGTTCTGTGTGTGTTGTACCTGGGACCAGGGAATGGTTTGGATGGGAAGGACCTTAAAGATCCCCTGGCTCCAGAACCTCCCGGGACACCTCCCACAGTCCCAGGGTGTCCCAGGGTGTCCCAGTGTCCAGCCTGGCCTTGGGCACTGCCAGGGATCCAGGGTGGGCACCCTGTGCCAGGGCCTGCCCACCCTGCCAGGGAACAATTCCCAATTCCCAAAATCCCACCCAGCCCTGCCCTCTGGCAGTGGGAGCCATTCCCTGTGTCCTGTCCCTCCATCCTTGTCCCCAGTCCCTCTGCAGCTCTCCTGGAGCCCCTTCAGGCTCTGGAAGCAGCTCCAGGATATCCCCAAACTCTGTTTTTCCCTTTAACCCCCGGATCTGCCCCCCACAGGATTTCTCTGTGGGAATCAGACACCCACCCCGGAGCCATCCCAGCCAGCTTGGGGCCACAGGATCCCAACTGGTTTGGGTGGGAAGGGACCTCAGAGCCACCAGTGCCACCCCTGCCGTGGCAGGGACACCTCCACTGCCCCAGGGTGTCCCAGGGCACAACTCCCACCCCAAACCCTCTCTCCACGCCCGGGGTGGTCACCTTGTCCGAAGGGCTCGAGGGTGTCGGCCCCGAGTCCGGCCGGCGTGTCCGTGTGCGTGGGCGTGGAGCCAGCCGAGGCCGAGCGCGGGGGCACGGCGGGGCGGCCATGGGTGGGCGAGGGCTGCGCCGAGCCCGCGGCCTGGGCCTGTGGGGAGGAGAGGGTCTGTGGGGAGGGAATGGCCTGTGGGGCTGGGTTTGGCTAGTAACAGAGAGCCCGTGGCTAGTGAATGGCCTGTGGGGCCATGGGGTTTGGCTAGTAACAGAGAGCCCGTGGCTAGTGAATGGCCTGTGGGGCTGGGCATGGCTAGTAACAGAGAGCCCGTGGCTAGTGAATGGCCTGTGGGGCCTGGTTTGGCCAGTAACAGAGAGCCCGTGGCTAGTGAATGGCCTGTGGGGCCTGGCTAGTAACAGAGAGCCCGTGGCTAGTGAATGGCCTGTGGGGCCTGGCTAGTAACAGAGAGCCTGTGGCTAGTGAATGGCCTGTGGGGCTGGTTTGGCCAGTAACAGCAGCCCGTGGCTAGTGAATGGCCTGTGGGGCTGGTTTGGCTAGTAACAGAGAGCCCGTGGCTAGTGAATGGCCTGTGGGGCTGGTTTGGCCAGTAACAGAGAGCCTGTGGCTAGTGAATGGCCTGTGGGGCTGGTTTGGCCAGTAACAGAGAGCCCGTGGCTAGTGAATGGCTGTGGGGCCTGGCTAGTAACAGAGAGCCCGTGGCTAGTGAATGGCCTGTGGGGCTGGGTTTGGCCAGTAACAGAGAGCCCGTGGCTAGTGAATGGCCTGTGGGGCTGGTTTGGCTAGTAACAGAGAGCCCGTGGCTAGTGAATGGCCTGTGGGGCTGGTTTGGCCAGTAACAGAGAGCCCGTGGCTAGTGAATGGCCTGTGGGGCCTGGCTAGTAACAGAGAGCCCGTGGCTAGTGAATGGCCTGTGGGGCTGGTTTGGCTAGTAACAGAGAGCCCGTGGCTAGTGAATGGCCTGTGGGGCTGGTTTGGCCAGTAACAGAGAGCCCGTGGCTAGTGAATGGCCTGTGGGGCTGGGCTTGGATAATAACAGCCCTGCTGAGACAGACACACAGACAGACAGACACACGGATGGGATGGGATGGGATAGAATGGGATGGGATAGGATCAATTATTATGGGATAGGATCAATTATTATGGGATGGGATCAATTATTATGGGATGGGATGGGTTCTTATGGGATGTGATGCACCAGTGGGGGCTGCTGTGGGAAGTGCCGGCACAGCGGGTACAAAATTTCATTAACTCATTTTTAAATTTTGATGTATCTTATGTGGTTTTATCTATTTTTATCTGTTTGGAGATGTTTTTAATAAAATCACATGCTTTGCGTGTTTTATGCAAGCATTTAGATATTCACATATTACATATGTAGTCATTTACATATTTATTTATAAAGCTTTATATATATAAATATATATAGTATATATATAAATACTGATTTATATATACTTATTTATATATACTTATATTTATAAGTATATATATATACTATATATATATAGTATATATATAAATACTTATTTATATATAATTAATTTACTTATATAAATATATAAGTAAATATATATTTATATATTTACTTATATATTTATATAATGTATATTTCTATATTACATATATATATTAATATACATATATCTAAATATAATTATATTTATATAAATTTGAGATGCATATATTTATATATTACAGATATAATAAATTTCGTATTTATAAACTATAAATATATTTAATATTTGATATATTATATATTTATATAGAAATATAAAAAATATATATAAAATTTATAAATAAATACATAAATTTGTATATAGATTGATATATAAAAATTTATATAAATATAGATGTTTATATTATATTGATATTTAAGTGTATATAAAATATGTAAAAAAAATTTAAATATAATATATATAATAATTATGTATATATTACATGTCTATAATTATATATATTAGAATATATTAAATACATTTTGTTATATAATTATATATGTTGCAAGTGATATAACATATATGATATATATTATATATTTTATATAACATATATTTATATATGTTATATAATGTAGATGTCTATATTTTATATATTATGCATATTTATATGTAAATTTATATGTTTTTATTTATTTATATATGTATTTTTAGATACAGAAATTTATCTATTGCATATATATTTATATATTTGTATATTACATATGTAGGTATTTATTGCATTACATATATAGATATTTAATCTGTTTTAGTATATTTTTAAATTCTCACACTTGTGTATTTTAGATCTATCCATATCATTGGACTTATTGCTAAAAGAGTGAATTTTTACATCATTTTACACTTTCTCCCAGCTCAGCCCAGCCCATTCCTGCGGTGCCATCCTAGAGCCTGAGGAGCGGCTGTGCAGCCGAGGTGACAGCGCTGTCCCCAGCAGCGCTGCTGGTGTGAGGTGACAGCGCTGTCCCCAGCAGCGCTGCTGTGTCCCCTCCGTGGGGAGGGACAGCCCAGGGCCCTGCAGAGCTCCAAAACCCCAAAACCCCAAAACCCCAAAATCCCAAAATCCCAAAACCCAAAACCCCAAACCCCAAAACCCCAAACCCCAAAACCCCAAAATCCCAAATCCCCAAACCCCCAAAACCCCAAACCCCAAAATCCCCAAACCCCAAACCCTCAAACCCCCAAACCCCCAAACCCCAAACCCCAAACCCCAAACCCCAGGCTCCTGAGGGCTCGGGGACGTGCGGCTGTTACTGGGGCAACACGGCCCTGGAGCGGGGACACTGCGGTGACACTGCCAGGACCCGTGCACAGTGACACGGCCAGGACCTGGGCATGGTGACACTGCCAGGACCCAGACACAGTGACACCCCAGCACCCCAGACACAGTGACACTGCCAGGATCTGTGCATGATGACACTGCCAGGATCTGTGCATGGTGACACTGCCAGGACCTGTGCAATGGTGACACTGCCAGGACCTGTGCAATGGTGACACTGCCAAAATCCCAGACACGGTGACACTGCCGGCACCCCAAACAAGGTGACACTGCCACCACCCCAGACATGGTGACACAGCCAAAATCCCAGACACGGTGACACTGCCAGCACCCCACACAAGGTGACACCCGACACCGCAGACACAGTGCCACTGCCAACACCCCAGTCATGGTGACACTGCCAGCACCCTGTGCAATGGTGACACTGCCAGCACCCACCCCAAAACACCAAATCAGATCTGCAACCCCAAAATGCACCCAAAACACCAAATCAGACCTGGAACACCCACCCCAAAACACCAAATCAGATCTGCAACTCCAAAATACACCCAAAACACCAAATCAGACCTGGAACACCCACCCCAAACACCAAATCAGATCTGCAACCCAAAAATACACCCAAAACACCAAATCAGACCTGGAACACCCACCCCAAACACCAAATCAGATCTGCAACTCCAAAATACACCCAAAACACCAAATCAGACCTGGAACACCCACCCCAAACACCAAATCAGATCTGCAACTCCAAAATACACCCAAAACACCAAATCAGACCTGGAACACCCACCCCAAACACCAAATCAGATCTGCAACCCAAAAATACACCCAAAACACCAAATCAGACCTGGAACACCCACCCCAAAAAGCACCCAAACACCAAACCTGAGCTGAAACCCCAAAATGCACCCAAACGCCAAATCAGACCTGGAACACCCACCCAAAATGCACCCAAACACCAAACATGAGCTGAAACCCCAAAATGCACCCAAACGCCAAATCAGACCTGCAACATCCACCCCAAACACCACATCACACCTGCAACACCCACCCCAAAATGCACCCAAATGGCAAATCTGGCCTGCAACACCCACCCAAACACCAAACCAGACCTTGAGCCCCCACCCAAACACCAAACCAGACCTGGAGCACCCACCCCAAACACCAAATCAGACCTGGAGCACCCACCCCAAACACCAAATCAGACCTGGAGCACCCACCCCAAACACCAAATCAGACCTGGAGCACCCACCCAAACACCAAATCAGACCTGGAGCACCCACCCCAAACACCAAATCAGACCTGGAGCACCCACCCCAAACACCAAACCAGACCTGGAACACCCACCCCAAAGCACACACAGCAAGGCAGGAGTGTCTGAATTTGCATAAATTTGTGGCAAAAGGTGCCCAGGCCTGGAGGGCTCCCAGGGCAGCCCATGGGACACCTCTGGGGACAATGGCACTGCCACCTGTCCCATGGCCCGGGTTTGGAGGCACCACTGTCCTCGTCCTCGTCCTCGTCCTCGTCCTCCTCCTCCTCCTCCTCCTCCTCCTCCTCCTCCTCATCCCAGCCCGAGCCTCCGCAGCCACTCGGGAGGAAAAGAGCCCAGGAAGGAGGAAAAGGGAGAACAGCCAGCAGAGATGGGCAGCAGAGATGGGCCAGGCCAGAGCTGACCTTCCCCGGGGAGCCGGGCAGGGGGGCAATGTTTCCTGGTTCGAATGTTTCCTGGTGGGAATGTTTAATGGTTCAAATGTTTGTTTTCCAGTGTGAATGTTTCCTGGTTCAAATGTTTGTTTCATGGTTCGAATGTTTCATGGTTCAAATGTTTTCTGGTTTGAATGTTTGTTTCATGGTTCGAATGTTTCCTGGTTCAAATGTTTTTTGCCTGGTTCGAATGTTTCATGGTTTAAATGTTTGTTTTCTGGTTCAAATGTTTCCTGGTTCGAATGTTTCCTGGTTCGAATGTTTCCTGGTTTGAATGTTTCATGGTTCGAATGTTTCCTGGTTCAAATGTTTCATGGTTCAAATGTTTCCTGGTTCGAATGTTCCATGGTTCAAATGTTTCCTGGTTTGAATGTTTCCTGATGTGAATATTTCCTGGTTTGAATATTTTCTGGTTCAAATGTTTCCTGGTTCAAATGTTTCCTGGTTCGAATGTTTCATGGTTCAAATGTTTCCTGGTTCGAATGTTTGTTTTCTGGTTTGAATGTTTCATGGTTTGAATGTTTCATGGTTCAAATGTTTCCTGGTTCAAATGTTTTTTTCCTGGTTCGAATGTTTCATGGTTTAAATGTTTGTTTTCTGGTTCAAATGTTTCCTGGTGTGAATGTTTGTTTTCAGGTTTGAATGTTTTA